GAGGCACTAATTTAAAATTATTAAAAATGCAAGGTACTGAAATTTTCCCTAAATTACATATATAGTAGGTCTTTTGTTTTTTTGTTTTTCCATATGATACTTCTTTCTTTTCTATTGAGTTTTAGCATATGATAATTAAATGAAGATGTAAAGCTAGAGTACACATGAAACTGGAGTGGTGAAGTTTCTATTGTTGGTTTTTTCATGCAAATGAATTGCATGTTGCTCAACTGAATATAAGATTATCCACGGCTCCTATGGTTCTGCTAAATTGCATAATGTTGCTTTGTTCATATGCATTTTGATGGAAAACAAACTCATTCACAATAGGAGATTGATGAAATTCAAGTAGAATGGGCAAATAGTATCAGCAAAGTCCTGTTAGCTGCTGCACTATAATGAATTAATCTATCAAACTCCTTTCTAGACATTGAACTAGAGTGAAATTTAGCCTTAGTTTTACTCGGTACTTTGTTGAAACTACGAACCTCTTGTCTCTTTTTGTTTTTTTTTCGCGGATTTCACAGATTAAAAAGTGCTAAATCCACAATCTGATCCAAACCTTCGTGTTAGGAAAATTTAAATCCGTGTCTAATTTAAAACTTTTTATAATTCAAAATTTCGGATTGGATTGAATTTCACGGATTAATCAAATTGACGAATTACGTGAACACCTTTAAATATAAACTTTTCTGATGTTATCAACATAATTGATCACATAGTCAGAAAAGAGAACCACCTTAAAAATAAAAAATAAAAAATAAAAATCGCCACCTTAAAAAAAAAAGCCGCTTCAGCTAGATTTCTCAACCAAACTAGGAAGAACGCTTTCACAACAACTATATATTCAGGAAAACGTTGAAATAACTGGGAAGAAAAGAAAGGGATGTGAGTAAAGAAGTAGAATCTTGTTCTATTACCATTAGAATTGTTTGTTCCTGGGTTTTGGTAAAGGCCTATGTTTTGCTGTTTCAAATTATAAAAACAATCTGAAATACATTTGGAACGTGAAACAATTGATTACTGTAATGTTTTAGAACATCATTTTGATTCATCTATTTATTTAAAAATTAAAAAAAGGAGAGAAAAAAATAGGCAAAACATATGCCTCGTTGTGGTAGTGGACGCTAATCAGATTTTCGCCGACAACAACCCCTTCCCTCTTCCCCTTACCCTTCCCCAGCAATTCGCCGCAACGGCATTGCTGTTGTTGGTGGACGAGGTCACGGAGGTCTAGCACTGGTGACCTTGCAGCCGCCACATGCTCGGCCAGCGTTCACTGCTTCGACTGTAGCTATTTTATCGCTTAGTCACCATATCGATTTTAAGTATACAAATCAAACACCTACCGTTCCGTGATTAACCCTCGTAAACTCGACTCTTGGAAATTGACCTCATCATTAATAATAAATAAACAACAAAGATGTTAATAAATCAAACGAGTTTGGAATAAAATTTCCCTTTTATATCGAACAATATTAATTTTTCAAATTCAAAAACGACCTTCAATGACTCTTTAGAAGGCATCTAAACATGTGAAATGTGTGCGTTTAATTGGTGTATTCGTGTCATGATTTAAATCATAATTTGTGGTTCGTTACAATATTTTCTCTTATAAAAAATACGTGTAAATTAAAAATAATTTTGAATCATAATTTTAAATCTACGAACTAAACGTCCATTTATTATAATACTATTAAAGTGAACGGGACCTTTTTTTTTTTTTTTTTGTCTGAAGTAAATGGGAGCGTAAATTATCCTTTGAAATATTCTCTTGGCAAATCCATCTTTATGGATTCCACTATTTCTCTATCTCGAAATTTGTTTATTGGCCTCAGGGAAAAGGTTTTTGGAAAACAAATCTGACCATTGACCTTTGATTTTTTTTCCCCTTGCAAAAAAAGGGTTAACCAATGATATTTGTTTGCTTCTTATGTGGGATCCAATCGTCATTGGTTTAAAAAACAAATAAATAAATAAATAAATAATAAACGCAAATGGCTCCGTGGAGCCACACCTCCTCAAAGATATGGGGTGGGCCTCGTGCCCCTGTGGGACCCACATAGGCCCACCCCATGTGTCCGTGGAGCTAAAAAAAGAAAGCTCTCGGATGGGAGCTAAAAAAAGAAAGCTCTCGGATGGAATACTAAATATTAAAGAGAAATAGAAAATAGGCCAATATAAAAAGTTTAAGAAAGTATATAAATTAATTTTTAGTTATAGAAATTAATAGATCATAATTTATTAAGTTATGGTTCATAATTAGATAAATTATAAATAAACTTGTCAAGTTATAGTTCATAGTCAGATAAATTATGGATAATTATGAACAATAACTTGTCAAGTTATGGTTCATAACTAGACAAATTATGGACGAAAACAGTAATTTAACCTATTTATTAACTTATGTAAGCTATTGACCTATTAATTTTAATTTATTTTAAGTCTTGACTTATTTCTTTATTTCTCCCAATATTAAAGGCATGCATAAGCACATAGATTGATAGAATGATTCTTCCTACTTTTTCCCCAATTTTCTAGCTGTAAATTGGATCACCAAAATTTAATAAGTGGCTAAAAATAGAAAAAAAAAATGCTCGATCAGTGGGGTAAAATAATGTGCCCTATGTAAAGTGTTTGTGGATTGGAATCCACACATTAGAAGTTAATATGTGTCCGATTCAAAACCTTCGGAGTAAAAAATCTCAATTCGTGTTCGATTCAAAATTTTCAGAGTAAAAAATCTCAATTCGTGTCCGATTCAAAATCTTTTGAGCAAAAAATCTCAATTCGTGTCCAATTTAAAACTTTTTTACATTAGCGGATTGGATTCACGAATTCTATGAATTAGATTCACGAGGATTTAAAATTATAAATTGATAAACATACATACAAAATAAAACACAACATGAAATCTTTATCATTTATCCCAACTTAAAGTCTCAAAGTTTCAACCTCCATAACTCAAATAAACATAGCATAACTATAACATGAACTTGTTAAACTAAGTCTAAAATGTTACAACCTAATTAACAATGACAAAAAAAATAGTAAAAAAGAAGAACATAGTTTATATTATAGTTATGCTATATATTTACAACAACTAGATTTCTCAACCAACTGGGAAGAAGAGTTTCACAACAACTATATATTTAGGAAAACGTTGAAATAACTGGGAAGAAAAGAAAAGGATATGAGTTAGGAAGTAGAATTTTTTTCTATCACCATTAGTATTGTTTGTTCCTGGCTTTTGGTAAAGGCCTGCGTTGAAAACATCAGACTTTATGTTCTATAACCTGAAAAAATAGTTTATCTCAAGGATTATTAGGATTTATCTCAAAAATAGTTTAGATATTAATTGTTTTAATTTATTTTTGGTTTATCATTATAATTTATTTTTTGAATTAATTCTACTTCTATTATGATAATTAGTTTTAAATCTATTAGGATTCAACCAACAAAAGACGTATAAATTATTTACACCCATGCCTAAAATTTTAGCTGTAGTATTCATTCAGTTGGTCCTCTAACAAAGCTGACAAAGCTCTGTTGGAAGAATGCGAAGATGTTGATAGAAGATATCATCTAACAGTTGAATATGTACCAAATCACAATTCGTCATAAGACTACCAAATTTTAGGGAATGTAGCCCTCAAAATCATCCAAGATCTGTATAAGCAAGTTCCAAGTCATGGAGGAATTATATGTACTTTACTCTATTGAACACTTACTTTTTCTTTTCTTTTTTCATTTTCATTTTCATTTATACTCTCTTTTTTCTTTTTTTGGTGGCTTCAAATAGAGAACGTTTGCTTGCATTCTATCGATCAACTGGGCAAAAGCCTCAGATTTTGCTTGCATTATATACTACAGGTTTCTTTATTTTAGTCAAGCAAATATTGTTGCTCCTTCCATTAAAAAAAAAAAAATTGATGCTTTTCATTACGGTTTTACTTTACTCTATTGAGCACTAATAGTTTTAACGCCTTCAATTTGTTGTTGTTCGTTGTCAATGAGTAGTTTACATTGTCTGAAATTTGCAGGGAACCAGCAGGCCTGCACATTACCATATCTTGTATCATGAGAATAGTTCTACTGCTGATGCTTTGCAAGTTCTTACCAACAACTTGTGTTACACGTTAAAATTTCTTTGTATTCTATTATTTGACTTTTTAGATTCTATTTGCTTTTTATGAGGATAATGATCATCTTCTAAAAATTGTTTGGTGGGGCTTCGCTTTCCAGGTTCGCTAGATGCACCCGATCAGTCTCAATAGCTTTGAGACTGAGAATTATAGAGTAGAAATCAAATTTTTAAAAAGAATTTAATCTCTATTTTCAAGATAAAACTTGTTAACTATCTCTTATTTAATTTTAGAACAAAATCTCCTCTTCTATTTTATCCAAACTAACTTGTACATTAATTGTAACGATAGAAAAGCACGTCTACACCAGCGACCAAAAACAAATTGGTTTTTTTTTTTGGTTGAAAATGAAAAAATAATCTGTTAAATTCATGTATGGGATCACCAGAATTCTCTCTGGTACCGGTGATTAGAGAATCTTGTAGATTGTTTATTGAAAATGAAAAACAAATTAGTAGATTATTGTTTTCCAGTGGTTGATACCGGAGACTTGGGACGATGATATATATATTTTGAAAGCATAAAAATAATATCCAAGATGACCGACCCCAGCAACCAGAATCTGTAATTATTTTTATTGAAAACAAAAATATAATATATTAAATCCCTCCCTAACATCTACCTGATTCCTATCTAGTTGCAGGTCACCTAAGATGATTGGTTTTTTCTTTTTTGTTGAAAATAAATATTTTCTACTAGACTCCGCCATCGACCAAATTCCTCTCTAATGCCGCGACCGGAGATGGTTGATAATATTTTGTTGAAATTAAAGAACCTGTTTAGTTCGCTGATTCGGATTGTTCTTTATCCCAAATTTTATGCATAATTTATCAAACATTTAAAATTTTACTCTGTATATACTGCAATTAAAAAAAAAATACTACACTAAATCCAAAAAAGTTAATAGCGTTTAAAATTCCTTTTATTCCACTTGACAAACTTTCCCAGAACAATAATACACAAATAAGTTTCGATTGTCTTTTCATTATCGCAAGTAAAATATACCAAGCGATGCAAGGAAAATCTTTTGCAAATGTGTCATACTAGAGCTATCTCTTCTTTTTCCCACCCTTTCCGGATTTGGCAGTTCCAGCATTTGACGCAGAAGCAGGCTCTTGCTTCTTGGTCCTGCCAGGATGTCTCGGCACTAACTCTGCAATTCGCAGCATCAGCTGTTTCCCTGCAATACAATCGCAACCCGACACTAAACAAACAAAAACAAAAGCAGAGTTGAAAGTAAAGACACTTTAACTCTGCAACTCGCACCATCAATTGTTTCGTCGATGAAATTACTCGATATATCTCAAACACAATCATAAAAACAAGTCTAAATCTGCCATTCTAGAGGCAATGATCATGAAAAAGAGAGAATAGAGATATGACTCCTAAAAAGTTAGGAGACTTTAAAGGAATTTGTTAGACCCTAGGATTTCTATTACCGGAAAATAGGCAAGAACAGAATGAAATCAAGAAACAGTTATTCTTATTCACTGAAGGACTTTTGGAATACAATTCAGCAGTTCTTCGAGGGACTGCAAAACCTCCCTTAGCTGGCTAATTGGCCCAACTAAACCTTTACTCACTAATTTCCTACTCGACTAATCCACTCTTTCCCTATTTATATCCCTCCCCTTTCCCTAATTCTGTTGTAACAAACTTTTCCCCCCCACTAACTAACCCCCGATTGGTTACATTTCATTAACCATCCTACACTTGCCGCTGTTCCCCTCCCTAACGACACCTGTCTTTCCCCAGGGCCTACAGCCGTTTCCCTCTCCTCACAAACACCTGTCTTACCAAGGGTCTGGTCTTATCAACTACTCCGCCCCCCAAAAGAGTCACCTTGTCCTCAAGGTGAAAGTCTGGAAACTGTTGCTGGATGACCTCAAACAACTCCCATGAAGCCTCAAACTCGGGAAGACCCTTCCATTTGAGCAGCACCTCCAGCCGACCGGTGGATGAAGAAAAACAGGTATCCACGAGAGCCGCTGGTTCTACTCGTAACTCAAGATCCTCAGACAAAAAATACGGAAGCTCCTGGGAAGTAGCGGACGCGCCAATCGCTTGCTTCAGCTGCGACACGTGGAAAACCGGATGGATCCTTGCTGAATCCAGCAGTTGCAAGCGGTAGGCCACCGGCCCTACGCGAGCCAAAATCTTATATGGCCCATAAAATCTAGGAGATAATTTCTCGTTGGTAACCTTGGCCAACGAGCGGTGTCGGTAAGGCCTCAATTTCAAAAAGACCAATTCCCCCACCTGAAAATAAACGTCCCTCCGGTTGAGCCTGTAACAGATGTGTCTTTAGCTCATCCAATAGATCGTCCCGGGATTGAAGTTGCTATTCCAACAGGGAGTTGGCTGCGGAACCACTTTCAAACCGCAACAACTTGGGAGAGTCTCGGCCATAAAGGGCTCGGAAGGGTGTCATACCTGCTGCCACATGGTAGCTGGTATTGTACCAGTATTCTGCCCAAGGAAGATGGGAAAACCAATGAGCCGGCTGAGTGGACACGAAACAACGAAGGTACGCTTCGAGACAACGGTTTACCACTTCAGACTGGCCATCCGTTTGAGGGTGGTAGGCAGTACTTCGATGTAATGCGGTGCCCTGTAGCTTGAAAAGTTCCGTCCAAAAATGGCTCAGGAAAATTTTGTCCGGCTCCGTAGCTTTGTTGAGTGCTCGATAATCAATACAAAAACGCCAACTCCCATCTTTTTTTTTTTGACTAAGAGCACCGGACTAGAGAAAGGGCTTGTACTTGGTTGGATTATTCCGGCTGCGAGCATCTCCTTAACCAACCTTTCTATCTCGTTCTTTTGGAAATGGGGGTACTTGTAGGGTCGAACACTAATCGGTCCTGCCCCTTCCTGAAGAATAATACGGTGATCGTGCAATCGGCAGGGAGGTAATCCTTCCGACATATGTAAGACCTTTGAATGTCGTTGCAACAAGTGTTGCACCGATTCCGGAAGTGGATTTTCCATGCCGGAGTCCACCCGTAAGGTGCTCAACTCCACGTAGACCCCTTGGCCCTCGTGCCTCAAAGTGCGGAACATTGCCTTAAGAGAGACCATAGCTCTAGAAAGGCTCATATCCCCTTTTAAGGTCACCCCCTCCCCTCCTACCTTAAATTTCATAACTTGGGACTTCCAATTAACATGCATTCCTCCCAAAGTTTCCAGCCACTGCATGCCTAAGATCACATCTACTCCTCCTAATTCCAGCGGTAAAAAATTTTCAACAACGGTTAAACTTGGTAGAGTCAAAACCACCTCCCTACAAAGCCCCTTTCCCCGGACCGACTCTCCCGTTCCTACTTGAACACCAAACCCAGTAGTGGGAACCACCGGTATCGCTAATTTTTTTACCGTATCTAATGAAATGAAATTATGTGAAGCACCGGAATCAATCAAAACTATTACCTCACATTGAGCAATGACACCTCGCAGCTTCATAGTTTTCGGAGTCGACAGTCCCACTACCGAATTCAAGGAAAGTTCGATAACTTCCTGTTGTACGTCCTCCAGGCCCTGCCCCTGAAATTCCTGTTCTATCTCCTCCCCATCTTCTTCATCCTCATCACTGACCAACATTACCCGTAACTCCTTCCTCTTGCACCTATGCCCCATGGTGAACTTCTCGTCACAGCGAAAGCACAGGCCTTTCTCCCTCTTCTCTTGCCATTCAGAATCGGATAGTTTCCGGAAAGGAAAATCCTTCTTTGGGAGCACGGTTTTCTCTGTCACCAGTGTAACACGGACAACAGCGCTGGTGCTGTTTTTTGAAACCAGAGAAGAGAATTCCC